CGCTTCAGTACCTGAAGCTTCTTTTCCAGGGAATACGACTTTCTGGACGGCATGGCCGTCAACGTCAAGCAAATGAAAACTGCAACTTTCAAGCACGCGTTCAAGACTTCTAATTTTTCTGGAAAATGAAGCGCATGCGCTTGTACCCGGACATGTTTACACAACAAAAAATCTTTTTTGCAGCAAATTTTCACTTATAAGCCCATGCGCCTATATGTGCGGAAGTACGGTAGTTCACGGTAAAAAATAAAAAAAAGTTCACGGTGGTTCACGGTGGTTTCTGTCCTTTCGGATAACATGTCAGGTACGAGTACCGGGAGAGGCTCAGGTGGCGACTATTTTGTCACCGCCTGAGCCTCCCTCTCCCGGAGACAGGCCCGAGAAGGCGGCGGCACCTCAGTCACCTTGACGATGCTTCCTTTTTACTCGGGGTCCACAAGGTGAAAGACTTTGTAGAAGTGAGCCGGAACATTGACTTACACTGGTGCACCTGTGGGGTGCGCTTGTAACTGTGCGTGTGTGTGTGAATCGAGAGAGGTTTCGGGTTCAATTCCCGACGATTATGGTCACACCAGTCTTCCTTCTCATTCTCACTTTCAACTTTCCACCTATAGGGCTTGAAAGTGATGACGTCAAAACGGCCAGGGAGTAGTAAGTTGACATCAGATTTCTATTTTTGGATCCACTAAGGTGTGACTTTGCTATTGCCTAAGTATGTGGGTGCATAGCAACCCACTCATGTCGCATGCAGGTGTGACTTTTATTTCGCCACCAGTTGTAACCCGTTAACCCCGCCCCCAGTAGCCAAATCAGTCAGTTTCACTGGTTACATCACCTTGCTGAGAGTAAGACGGCTTGAAATGTGCTTGGATCCATACAAAAACTGGATCCAAGTGGATCCAATTTTTGAATTTTTGAAATTGTTGCTATGCTGTGACGTAGCACTTTCAAGCCCTATTAGGCCACACTTTGTTTTTTCTATGTTTCTCGTCGGCAAATTTTAACAAAAGGTATGCGGGCGGGCGGAAAAAAAACAAAAGGCAAGGAAAAAACAAGAACAATTTCTACTGAAAACTGTATACATTTTACATGCATAATATATCCGTGATTCATACAAGACACTGCGTAAACAATGTACCGGTATACTGGTATACAGTACTACATTGTACAATCATGTACATGTAGTCCCATACATACTACATTATCACATCAGCCCACGAATATCAGGCAAACTGCAACAATGAGAGTATAAAGTTTGATGAATACGAGATGGCGAAGAGAACATACATGTACATTTATCTGTTATCGCATCAACAAACGCTTTCCCACGGGTCATTTTCGGTTTTGTTACTTCAAGGTTCTTGCGTCCGCTTATCAAACTCTTGTCTCCACGCTGCTCATCTTTTCCTCGCCATGCGTCTATTGCTTGGATTTTCTGCCCACGATATCGTTCCACAGACGCCAGTTGCCACGGTACTCGTCCGACTTACGGTATTCGCGTTAGCTCAGTAATGCCGTACTAATGGGATTTCTCTCGTCACACATCACCCACCTCCACACCGACTGTCGCCATGTTATCTACACATCTTACATTCTGCCTATTTTTGATTACTGCTGCATAATTTGGGCTGGCATTTCTAAAACACTGATTGCTCGACTCGAAGTTATGCATAGGCGTCTTTTGAAAATAATATTTCGGCTTCCTCGCCTGACTCCAAGCGCAGACTTATACCGCCTTGCTTCTGCTGTGCCGCTCTCGGTCCGCGTGCGTTTTTTGGCATGCCAGACAATTCATAAAATTAAGCTGGGCATTGCTCCTCTTCATGCTCTCTCCTGCCTAAGCTGGTTTGCTCAATCTCAAGACATGCGCACCAGAAACTCTCTCCGCTTCCCTATTGCGCGGTCTGCCTCTATGCAAACATCTCCTCTCTTCCTTGCTTACCGCCATTGGTCTCTCCTCCCACAACATCTAAAATCCTGCCAATGTTACAATACATTCACACAGCTACTGCAGAATGCAACATACTAGTTGATATCCAGCCCTGCCCTAGCTTCTCCTGCTTTTCAGTTCCTCTTTCGTTCTTTTTCTTTCTCCCCTCTAGCTCTATTAGTATTACCGCCATGGCTGGCTATCGCCCACATCACCATTTCATTGGCTAGTGCCACGTGATTGTGAATAAATAAATAATAAATAAAATAAATTCCTGGGACCCACGAAGCTCAGGCAGTGAAAGACTGAAAAGTGAAAGCTTCGCCATGGCAGCCTTCATCGCAGAAAACGGATAGGACACTGGGAGCGCTCCTTTGCTCTGTGGTTCACTTCAAACCTTTACGATTTTGATTGACGCATCTAGCTGCTGCAGCATGTGCAGCGTGCATACATGTACGTAGTATGAACTTTTTTTTTCTTCCGAAATTTCTGAAAACCTACGCGGGCGATGACGAGAAACATAGAAAAAACAAAGTGTGGCCTCTAACTAACGTTTACTTTTCTTTCATTCTCCTGCGCGGTTGCAAACAACCAGTGCGTGCCGGAGTACTGAATGTGGTGTGTGTGTGCCGGAAAAAGTCCAAAAAGAGGGAAAAAGAGAAAGAAAAAAAGTAGGGATTCACTGGCCAAAAACTGCATCATAGCTGTGCTGTGGAAACCAGGATGAATTCAGCCTCAGTTGTAAGGTTGTGAATGGTGCAGCACAAGCTGCTATGGGCTTCTGCTGTAGCATCGCTGTGATAAGCCCCCAGCGATGGGCGTCAACGGCCGAAGGTGTGTGTGTGTGTGTGTGAAAAAAATGAAAAAGACCAAAAAGTAGGGATTCACTGGCCAGAAAAAGCCACTTCATAGCTGTGTGGTGTAGACCAGGCTGAATAATGGCGGTCAATTCTTCAGCCTTGCAGGCTGTTGAATGGTGCAATCCCAGCACAAGCTGCTATGGCTTCTGCTGTAGCATCGCTATCATCGCCTCCAGCGATGGGCGTCCAATGGTGTGTGTGTGTGTGTGTGTGTGTGTGTGTGTGTGTGTGTGTGTGTGTGTGTGTGTGTGTGTGTGTGTGTCCCATATGGTGCAGTGGTATGTGCAGCGATTTCCAATCGATAGATTGCGGGTTCGATTCCCGACGATTATGGTCACACACGTCTTTCCTCTCTTTCTCAGACTCTTCCTGACTTTTCTTTCATTCTCCTGGGTGGTTACCAACAGCCAGTGCATGCCGGAGTATGTGGTGTGATGTGTGTGCGGGAAAAAAAATGAAAAGACCAAAAATAGGGATTCACTGGCCAGAAAATGTCACTCCAAATAGCTGTATGGTGTAGACCAGGCTGAATAGTGACGATCAATTCTTCAGCCTTGCAAGCTGTTGCATGGTGTAATCCAGGGAGTCGTCAAATACCTGGTATTTGACGACTCCCTGGTGTAATCCCAGCACAAGTTGCTATGGCTTCTGCCGTAGCATTGCTATCATCGCCTCCGGCGATGGGCGTCAAAGGTCAAGATCAAGGTGTGTGTGTGTGTGTGTGTGTGTGTGTGTGTGTGTGTGTGTGTGTGTGTGTGTGTGTGTGTGTGTGCCATGGTGCTGATACCATCTGCGTGAAGGTTGCACAGCGTCGCCTAGAGTGGCTGGGCCATGTTGCCCGGATGCCGAGACAGATCCTGTTTGGCTCACTTCCCACACGTCGCCCAGCACATGGCCCTCGCAAGCGCTGGAAGGATTGCGTTGTCTCCGACCTAAGAGTTCGTGGCCTCACCAAGGAATGGCACCCTATTGCCTGTGAGTCCCGCGCTGACTGGCGGGCTATGTACGCCGAGCCTGTGGAGAACGTGCCTCAGGCTGGCCCAGTGGTATGTGCGGATTGCAATTGGTCATTCTCGCGCCCTGGAGATCGTGCTCGCCACAAATGTGTGGTTGAGCGGGCCAAGCCGATTGCTGAGCAGCGAGGGGCTTGCCACTGTGGAGATTGCGGGCGTTGGTTTCGAAGCAAGGGTGGTCTAGCTGTTCCGCACCTCAGCCTCCCGAGCCCCGGCAAGTCTATGTGCAGGATGCCTGCTGTGCTGCGCACTGTGCTGTGTGCGCCCGCTGCTTTCGGACTGCGCAAGGCCGCGGTCGTCACTGGTGCTCGAAGACTGGCCCGCGCCCGACTGCCCAGCAGCGTAATTCGTTCAGTCATGTATGCGTGTGTTCTCGCCGGTTCCGTTTGCTCCATCTCCGGCGTCATCAGGCTGCGTGCTCCATCTTCCTCTCCGATGCCCCTCCGGGGCCCACGTGGCCCCTGTGGCAGGGGCTCTACAGGACAGGTGTGTGTGTGTGTGTGTGTGTGTGTGTGTGTGTGTGTGTGTGTGTGTGTGTGTGTGCAATCCCAGACCCATTGACACCTGGATCCACCAGTCATAATTGGAAATGAAATTATTTGCTTCTGAACCTCAGATTCGATGTGAACGCCCCACACTTGCAGGATACCGGGACAACACACACACGCACGCACGCACACACACACACACACACTGCATACAAATAGCCGGAGCGTAAAAGAAATTGCTCCCAAGATACGCTAAAGATCCTGAAAGATAAATAAATTCGGTCAGGTACAAAATTTGGTGTTAGAATGCTGGTCAAAAGCCTGACTGAAAAGGGCGTTTAAAAAAAAGAAGAGAAAGAAACGAGCGTGATAAAGAATGTCAGAGGCTACAAACAAACTACTTGTAGATGATATTGATCTGACAGAGTGTAAAGTTTGTCCAGCGAAATCCGAGTTTCGGCAAGCCATGTACGCCCAACGACTGTGGCGTACGGTATGTCATTTAAAAAAAATGAAGCGTAAATAGTTTATGTTCTTCAAGTTAACGGTATTTGGTGATTGCCAGGTCGGTTGTAGAAAATGTCAAATGTTGAAAAAAAAAAGCAGTACGTGTAGCAAATAAAAGTAATGAGGACGGGAAAGAAAGTGAAGTGTGAGAGCGAGAAACACCGTGCAGTTGGACTCATTCCGGGTACCGAAAGGTAAGTAGTCTTTTTCTTCTTCTTCTTATCATTATTATGTGCTCGTTTGTGCGCCTGTGCTTTTCAAGGGTGGTTTAATAAATCAGGGATGTGTGTGTTCGCGCAGATACATGTGTGTGTGTGTGTGTGTACGCATGTGCGTGGGT